CCTTTTCCATCCTAGAAATCCTTCTCAAAGCCCAGATCTACCCATCTCCCTACATCACACAAGTATCTTCTCCCACTGTATCACTACACCCACCATGCTGTGATGTAACCTCAAAGCACAGTTACCTGGATATGGCCCTTTCTATTCTTTCAGTGCTGTAATCTGATTTTTTCAAAATGTAACAGTCTATTTTTCTAATTAAATGTTGTTAATATGGTAGATTAATAAACAACGCCTTGGGTGACACGACACCAAGCAGACGCAGTTCCATTAAATCAGTGGCCCCTCAAGTCCTGTTGCTGGTGACACTTGCTGTGGGTGCCTTCAGACTTTTGGCAACACTTGCACAGAATCAAACCACGCTGTATAGGCTGCAACACAAACAGCAAATCCAGTCATTTCAAAGTAATTGTGCCATTTTTTTTGAAACTGAAATGAAAAACATAAAAACCCAAACCAAACAACTTGTCTCTTCACAGACAGAATGGACCCATTATCTCCATTTCCATCAGTACATGGCCATATCCCTGCTGACCTGATCGTGGCTGGAAGCACTCCCAGGGCACATGACTTTGTCCCACACTCTGGGAGTTGGTAGTGATGTTCCCCGTCACTTCATACAAAGCCAGACCCCCAAAGGTGCAAAACCAGCCCAGACACCCCTGCACAGCTTCCAAACCCCTCTGTTGCCCTGCAGGAGCTATTTCATGGCCCAGGTACCGTCCTCATCTTCAGAAGTTTTAGTCACCAAAATCCACTGGCTGCCAGTAGAGTAATCCCAAACCCCAGCAGATGTGCACAAGGGGATTGGAGCCTTTCTCACCCACACTGGGTGCGTGCATGCTCTAGACAGGATTTGCAAGGTGTCTGACCTTACTCTGCACAGATACCTCTTTTTTCCCTTGCACAGAGCTACAAGTAGGCAGTCAAAGAAATGACACAGTTCTCCGTGGCTGTGTATAATATTTGTAGCTGCTATGGCACTCCCAAAGCCCACCCACAATTTCATTTTCAATTAGCAGCTCTTAGAAAAGCAGTAATGAAAGCAGTTGCTAAAGAGCACTCAGATGTCATTGAGAGACTGCAAACCCAAACTGTAAATAGCACATTGTAAATCACTTGTCACCACAGTCAGCTCTCCCCGGGATCACACTGCCGGTGACAATCAAACCCATCTGCTCCGCTCCCGACCAGTGTCACCACAACCCAGGCAGCCAACACCCACCTCCCGCTCTGCTCCCATTACCTGTCATGTGTGGGCTGGTCTGAGAGCCTGCACAAGCCGCTCTGGCCGTGGATGTGATTAAACACTCATCACACAAGGGTCCTTTCACCCTCCACAACACAGGTTTGCTGCACTGAAGCACCCACAACACAGTTAATGACACCATGCTCACAAGCAGGGGACAGTGATGGCCACCCAACCAGCCACCAAAAGCAGTCTCAAATGCAAGATGTATAAATTCGGGGTGAGGCTGCCAAGGAGATCGGGGACTTAATCCTGAGAAGGAACAGCTTCAATCCTTCCCTCCCTCCCCTTTAATTGATTCATGTAATGCACTACAAGGTGAAAGCTAATAGTTTATAATGCTTGTAGCTGATGGCTGCCAGAGTCAGTGGGGTATCTTTTGCTCCTTCCTGTTTTGCCTTTATCTCATTAAAATTTACCTCCTAATTCATCTCTCCATCGTGGGTTTTATTCCCTTTATTCACGATCCACCCTTTATTTATTACCATTTGTCTCCTTCCCTGCAGTCAGGCAGTATCTGGGATTGGGATTTGATATTCTGCAAGTGTCTTTGGGATCAGGTGGTGCAGGCAGAGCCCAGCAGCAGCCTGCTCTCACACAGCCATGGCCAGCTAAGACCCCTTGCCCAGCAGGCAGGTTGATGGTTTAGAAGCATTTCCAGGGGCTATCCTTTTCTGCAAGAACTGCAAGAATCTCCCAGCAGATGAACAGAACAATGAAGGAAATAGTGGAGGTAGCAAAAGTCAGTGTCTTCTGCTCTTTCCAAAACATACACCCACTGAACAAAGATCCTTCCCTCTCGTTATCAAAATAATCTCAACACTCCTTCTGCCCTGAAAACTCATTGTTTCCTGGTATGCCCCACTGTACTCGGACCTCAAGGAATAAAAACTCATTAAAATCCATTTAAAAATGTGTGCCACCATTTTACTAGTTTAAAAATGTTCACTTCAAGATTTCCAAATGGTTTTTACAGAAAACACATAAAAACATGCCACCACCAATTAACGTAAAGGAAATTAAATTTAAAACGCTGGAGAAATATTCTGATGAGTCTTATGTTTGCTTAATGCCAACTAAAATTTCCTTAAGGCATTTAATAAGTACATTTATAAAAGCTCACAAAGCAGAGTTCAAAAGTCTTCTCGCTAGTAAAATATGAGCCTTAATTAACCTACAGTTTCACATTTTCTGGATTTCAATAAACCTGTAGGCATTTCAGCAGAGCTGGATAAATACCTGCATGAACACTGCAAGGATTTTCTCTGAAAACTAATTAGCAGTGCTTTCAATAGCTGACTTCAACTAAAGCTGTTTGACAGGGAGCTTCATACCCTAAATCCTGCACTGAGAGTTCCTTCCAGCAGATAACAGATTTCACAGAGAGGCATATCCACCAGGACTGTCAACCACCGGCGGAACTACGAACAAGATCTCCAGGTATAAAACATTTCCCAGCAGGGACAGACTGCAGCCAAGGTCCTATGCCAGCACAGGAATGCAAGTGGCTGCATGAGGATTGCATCCTGCCACCCAGTTACATATTCACATGTGGCAATTCAGGATTCCTCCAGGGACAGGAGAGGCAGGATAAATTGGTTATGTATAAAATATATCACCCTGGTATAGCAAGGACACCATATACAGCCAGAAGCCTCCTGAACTTTAAATGGCTCTGGACACTCCTCCTGTGTCAAGCACAAACAACAGCAGCCCCAGTTCTTGGATTGTTGCCATCTGAGAAGGCTGACAATCAACTCTACTTCCCCTTCAAGAGCCCAGGAATTCAGTGGGATGGACCTGGGTGGGGAAAGCAACCCAAGGTGTGCAGCCAAGAGTCACTCCAGGAGGAAAAGTGCAACGTTATCAGGGAAAATCACCCTCAGAACTTATCATTCTCCTCCTTCTTTTGAGGTCTACACCATTTGTCTTGAAAGAAGACAGAAAATGCCTACCACAAACTCTCTCTATAAAGGTGGTGGGCATGCCTCTCCCAAGAGCTTTACAGTCTTTTCCATGACATCTTTTTTCCATGCCTGAGTGCCAAAGCCTCACGGGTTTGTCAGCACCTACACTGTTCATGAGACTAAGATGCTTGTATCTGAGGAGCTACACCCCTCCCAAAAGTATTAAATTTATGTTGAGCAAGATATTTTATTTCCTCTCAGTCTGATCCCGCAGGAATTAGGCAGGGTACTCAGATTTATCAGCTCAAAGGAAAAGCATCTTCCATGACATCTGTCAACACAATACCTTCCAAGACAGTGTATATTTATTCCCAAAAACATAACCTCACAAATAACCTCCATCAGCAGTGAGGCTGATTTCCTTCATAGCTGAAATTCTGGGCAGAAAGGCTCCACCTGACAATAGGCCACACCAGGGGAGTCAGACAATGCAAAAAGTCAGTTCTCCAGAGGCCAGTTCCTCCTGCCCAAAGCAGGTCCATTTACCATCTGACAGACCAAACCAGAACAGAGTGCAGACCACACAGGGGAACACAGGAAACAGTCATGGAAACACAGCAACCTTCAATATCTATTTATAACGTAACCATTGCATCAAATATCCTGAAGAGTTTTCCCCATCTCCCTTTGAAATACCAAGTAAAATTAAATTAGAAGAAATACCTTTAACAGCTGTGGTAGTGTAGAATAGGCATTTTTACAATTTGTGTGCTTTGCTGAAGTGCTGTATAATCTCTAATTTTATTTCTATACACAGTGTAGGCTTAAAAATCATCATGAAAACCTATTTTTTCCCAGCTTCTGTAACTCTGAATATCAAAATTGAATACAAGTCAGCATACTTGTCATCCTCAATGTTCCTTCCATTTCCCTGAGCTCACAAAATGAGAAGCAGTGAATTCTCACTATTTTCTACAAGTTTCTCTGCAAAGCAACGCTTGGTTTGCACTAAACAAGGATGAAAAATGATTCCATATATCAACCATCCCCATTAGACATGTAAATTTTGGTTTGAGGCTCATAAATATCAATCAAATGTAGGCAAAAGCTGACCTTTTTACTATTACCTCTTTTTTCTGCATCTGCATCACAGAAATCACACTTGTCACACTTTCTTCTTTTTTAAAAAACATAACAAACACGGCACTGCACAGTCACGAAGAAGAACCCAACATTTCCAGCCTCAGGCTTTGCAACCCTGGATGGGACCTGCTGACTCTTGCCACGTGTGAGCCACAGCTACCCTGGAAGGGAACAACACTGCTGGGAAGGCAGAAGTTCTTGCTTAGGGCAGGTTCTGAGTAACCCAGAGGAGCAGAACCAGTGCCACTGACACCCTACAAACGAGTTCCTCAAACTGTAATCAGTCTCAGAGCTTGATTAACAGCTGCCCTTCTTGCAATTAGCTCACCTTGCCCTTGGCATTCAGAGGGCTCTTGTGCTTCCCTGAACCAAGTCTAGAAACAAGAATGCGTATTTATAGGACAAAGGTGGCCTTGCAGTGTAACAGAGAGATCACATTTGTTTGCCCTGACAGCCTCACAGCCTGCCTGTGACAGCTGTCCCAACCGCTGCACATTTATTAATCAGACCAGCTCCACCATCAATACACCTGCTCAGCCATCTCCTGCTCTGGCAGGACACAGCACCGAGTGCCACCCGAGAGCAAAACAACCACAACAGGATTCCAAGAAGTGACCCCACAAAACAAGAAACTGGCTTCTACATACCATGTGCCAAGAGCCAGAGCCCTCCCTCCCCGCAGCAGGTGCCTTGTGTCCCACCTGTCTGAGGCCCTTGGGGAGTTTCTTCCTTTTGCCGAGGTGCTGGCACAGGTTCCGGTCATTTTCCCGGTCGGAGCTGTACTGGTGGTGGTGGAGCCTGTTCTTTTTGGGAAGGTACGACAGCCCATTGGTAAGTGCTTCCCGCTTCTTCTTGGCCAGAGGGTTCTGTCGCTTCTCCACACGTTCCTGAGGTTTCAGAGCTATGTCCTTCTGCAGAAGGAGAGAAAAAGACAGCGGTTTAGCCACAGCTCTGCTTTGCTTGGCCTCTTGAAGCAGCAATTCCAGGTGACCAGCAAAGAACTCTGGAGGCAACACTACAGTCACCAGAGAAGGAAAAAACCCCAGCCCTCACTGATGTCCTCTTAACCACTTAAGAGGCAAACACAAAATGAAGTCGGTCAGATGAAGTGAGTGCACACAAGCAAACACATCCTCCTCGAGCTTTCATTCCCCCAACCTCACAGTTCTCCAAAGCATCTCATGTATCAAGTGAACACACATTCAGAAGACAACATATGTTTATAATGTTTAAATTAACAATCTGCTTTGATTTAAGCAATGCTCAACTTTTCATATTTATTTTATTATTTCTTGTATTTGACAAGCCAAGGCACGAGCTGACCTAAATCCAGTTAGGGCCAATGAATCTCCATTGACTTCAGGGGAGGTTTCCCTCGAGCCTGACTTAAGCAGCAGGTTTCCAAATCCCAGGGAGGGGGGAAAAGTGCACAAACAAGCAGCTTGTATTTGAAAACTTTGTTACTGACCCTTTAACCCCCAGAATCAATGTCTGCCTGTAAAAAATACTCCAGCCTTGTAACACAAACATGACTTTTCTCACTTAGCCCACAGCTATTTTCGTGCTGATAACCTGCAACACACAGAACCCCTGTTTTCATTTCAAATAAATATTACTTGAATCTCTTTCAATAACACAGAATTAAATGCAGAGGGAGAAGAGGCTGGAGAATTCATTAGGAGAGAAGAACTATTGGAAAGAGGTTAATTATAGTGCATATTGTGCATCTAATAAATGCAATGTGCTGAGTCACATCTCCTCCAAGAACTCCAAGGGTGTGGTATTGCCTTGTGAGGGCCATGAAACAGTGGAATACTTTCAGCACTCTCTGCTCTCAGTCCTCCTGCTTTGACCAGGAGCTCCCCATGCCCCACCATAAAGCACTCTGGGATCTTGTAGCCTTTCAGCTGCTGTCTCAATATTGCCACTCCATATTATAACTGACATACAGACTGAGGTTCAGGAGAATATAGATAAAATTATGCCACCTTTTAATGCAAAAAAAAACATGCCCAAAGGCAAAAATCAGTTTGGCTTTAATTAAAGAATGCTCCCTAAATGCTTCTCCAAAACACAGGAGCTTCACAAAATTCATAACTGAAACCAATGAGATGATTAATTAAACTGGAGACAATCATCATTCACATTTCATATTTAGTAAAAAGAATGATTTCACAAGTATTAAAGATGGGAGTACTGAACAGAAGCTGTAAGACACTTCTTCTACCTTTTCTTCACCTAAGACCCCATCGGAAATATCCCAGGCTTTTCTTCACAGAGTTATTCATATCCCAAAAGTTAGGAGCCTTATCCAGCCTCATAAAAAAGAATTTCAGCATCTTTAACTCTAAAGCAGATTAGTATTTTAAGGACCTCATGTCTCTCCTTGCTGGTTCCTCAACCATCTGGAAAAGAACTCGTAGTAGCACTTCCTTCACGTTCTGCTTTGAGATCTCCTTGTGAGGAGCCCTGTGCTCAACCTGAGAGATCCCACAGAGCAGCCCAAGGAAATGAAAAGCAAGAACAGCCCTTTCCTCAGCACACCTTCTGTCTCCTTTCCCAGGATGGCTTTAGGTTTAGCTCCATGCCCTGAATGCAGGAAGGCAAATTCTCAGGTAACATGTACCGAGTAACCATTTCAGCCGTGCTCATCATCAACGGCTTCATAAACCTACAGCATCCACAAACACACCTGGGCCTCCTGGACAGCAAAGGCAGCTTATAAAATACACTGATTTGTACCTTAAGATCAGGCTGCTAACAATCTTTAATTTTTTCAGGTCAGTTTAAAAAAAAGTGCTTTATGAGTAGTACATTATACCAGCAAAGACTTCTGTTAAAACACAGAGCTAATTTGGTAGATAGAAATGCTGCTGGGAGGATTCACTCTAAATGTGAAAGGTTGAAGGAGTGAACAAAGGGGAACATTTCTGGGGGAAAAAAAAAAAAAAATTCTTCTAATGACTAAGAAGCTTTTGTGGGATTTTTTTTTTCCTCCCGGCTATGAGTGATCTAAATGAAACAGTGGCAGGTTTCCAGGTGCTTATAAAATGTCTAATGGGGCTAGAACTTGCCATCAAGAAATTACTAGTCCCCATTAGCTTTAAAGAGGGTGTAAGATGGGTCAGATTGTGCAGATCACTGTGGATGTACCTGGGAGAAGCCCGTGTTCCACCCCACTGCAGAAAATTTCATGAATTGTCAGAAACTCCTAAAGGACATGGAGCTCAAGTCAGAATTGGGATCAAAGAATCTGCATACACAGACAGAGATGAGTGACACCAAATTAACAAAGCCTTCCACAAGCTGCTGAAAAGGAATCCTCCCAGACAGAAGGAAGGACTGTCAGGAGTCTTCGAAAATAAGGAGCCTCTTCTGCTCACTAAGAGGGGCGAGGGAGCTCCTCACGTACCTAACTCAGTGTTCTGCAAATTGGGACAGGGGCCTTGAATCCTGTTTGGTGGGTGGGCTTGCTATGAAATGTAGACATAAAGATTGGTGTTGAGGCAATCCCATTCCTCCAGAACAGCCCTCTGCTTTTTATCAGCTGACACCACTGCAGAGAAAATTGCAGAGTGCTGTGGGTCAAACCCTTGGGTAATGGGACTGTGGGGTAGAACCTGCCATGGCCTGCAACAGATCCACGACTTGGCCTTAAAATATGTATGTATGTGGAAATACGTACTGAAATCTTCGTCTGCAGACCAGACTGCAACACAACATGGTAAAGGAATGAAGCTCAGACACAGGCGGGCAGGATGTATCAAAAGTAGCTTGAATAGGGGTCACACCGGGCGTTGCTCCTCGTGTTTGAGGGTGCAAACTGCCCGGGATTGTCTCACACATGAGCAGGGATTCTGCCCCGTGGAGCCCCTGGGCTTGGCAGAGGCAGCCCTTGGCTGGGAACCAGGGCCCTGCATAAATCACTTCCCCACTCGCTGCCCTTTGTCCCTGCTCCCGTTTTTCTCTCTCCCTCGTTTAGACAGGACAATGGCTGTACCACGCCGTGTGCTCCCACATTAGCCAGCACAATCTTAATTACAGACTTCAGGCATCATCGTGATTAGAGTAATAAGCTGTAATTACTCTAAGGTGACAGGACTGCAGAGACTTTATCTACATAGATAAGAAGATGTAGTAATATTTCATGTCGAGACGTATTTGTCAGCAGCTACCCATGGAGTGGATTCAAACTAAGCACCAGACCCCATGAACACACTCAGTCTTTAATGGAGGTTTTTCTCCTCTCCTGCCAGCATACAAGCCCACACATTATTAAATAAATCCTACAAACCTATTAGGCACAGTTTAAAACCATCTTATTCAGAGATATCTTTCATCAGGAAAGTGCCTTAAGTGTATCAGGAAGGTGACTTAAATGTATAAATATGTAATTACATGCAATTCAGTACAAAAGTGCATTAATATTTATGAGTGTACTGTATAATCTAAAAAAATTCCATTTGTTTTATTTCTACTGGGCACATTAATCAACCTGATACCACTGTATGTGCCATGGTGGGGCAGAGCCGCCCCTGCTATGACATTAGGAGGAGCCTGGTGGGTGTCCCTGCAGTCACCTCGGCTCCAGCTCCCATCAACAGCTTCAATCCAAGCCCTCCCTTTGGGGAGGGAAGGAGAAGCAGCCTCTGTGGGCCATCAGATAATTTCTCGAGGTAGGAGGCTGGGAGGACACACTCATCAAGTGTTGTGTTTTCAGGGAGCTGTGTCTGATTTATTTCAGCACAGTCCATCTCCCTGCTATGTAAATGACAACTCACTGATTAAAAATCAGCCCCCAGTGGCAGCAGAGCAGAGCTTTGGGGGTGCCCACATCACCCCTGTGAACCTCACCCAAGAGCTGCTGCCCTTCCCTCCTGCCCCTGCCCTCGGACGACAACTTAAAAACTGCATGTGAATAACAGGAACTCTGCTCCACTCATCATCACAGGATTTTCTATGGGAACACAGGATGAAAAGCAACACTGTAAATGCAGTGTGTAGCAAATGCACTGCAGAAATTTCTCTGGATGAACGTTTCAGGTGCTACTCAGAGATTTCAAGTCCTTTCCAAAACATCCTTGTGGGTTATCATTACAATTCCAGTGTTGCAAGAACTTATTTTCTGAATTTGCACTGAATGAGACCTCAGTAAAGTACAACTTTTGAAAACTGATCATCAAAACCAGGCATAGCTTACAGTGCAGTGCTGGTTAAACCAAATAACAACTGCAATGTTCTACGACTACATTCCAATTATTTGCTCTTTGGGTTCTTGCCAAAGTCCACTACAGCATTATATCAGAGCCCAGCAATTTATCCTTCATTCCAGCAGCTGAGAGAAGTCCTGCAGCTTGGTCAGCACAGAATCACAGAGTGGTTTGGGTTGGAGTGGATCTTAAAGCTCATCTCGTTCCCCCCCCTGCCCTGGGCAGGGACACCTTCCATAGCCCAGGTTGCTCCAAGCCCCGTCCAACCTGCCCTTGGACACTCCCAGGGATGGGGCAGCCACAGTGCCAGGGCCTCAGCACCCTCACAGGGAAGTGTCACAGTGGGAAACATCAGCTGGGAATCCAGGACAGCAACATGCACAAACAGCTGCACAAAGTTTTGAGAGTTTGAGAGGACCAGACTGAGAATACCAAATTTGCCATCACATCCTGACAGTCTTCACTGACTCACACTATGTTTCCATTATATTGGGGAAGAATTTTTATAGCTGATGGATGAAAATGCCCCAAGACTTCAATACCTTTCTCATGTTTCATAATTTGCTATTTTAATTCTGTCAGAAACAAGATGTAAAGATCTGAAAACAATGCATTGACCAGTCCCTATAATCTTTCAAAATCAGGAAATAAAACAAGATGGTTATAAAACCATTCATTTCTCTACAGATAAAATAGCTAAA